TTGCTTATTTGAGGTCTCTTTCCTTTTCATATAAAATTAGTGATTGGTTTTTTCATATCCTTAAAGAATGCTGATGGGATCTGGATTGGGACTGCATTGAATGTATAGATTGCTTTGGGTAGAACTGGCATTTTCACAATGTTCAATCTTCCTATCCACGAGCATGGTATGTTCTTCCATTTATGTAGATATCTTATGGTTTCTTGGAGTAGTGATTTATAGTTTTCTTTGTTGTACAGGTCTTTTGCATCCCTTGTAAGATTTATTCCCAAGCAATTATTTATTCATTTTTGGTAACTATTGTAAATGGTATTGATCTCCTTTTCAGCAACCTTTTTGCTGGTGTAGAGGAATCCAACTGATTTTTGTGTTGATCTTGTATCCCACCACTATGCTAAATCTCTCAATTAGTTCCAGTAATTTTTTTGCTGAGTCTCTTGGGCTTTCTATGTGTAGGATCATATCATTAGAAAATAGGGACAGTTTGACATCTGCCTTATCAATTTGGATGTCTTTCATTTCCCTTTCTTGCCTTATTGTCCTGGCTAGGACTTCCAATACAATGTTGAACAGAAGTGGTGATAGAGGGCATCCGTCTCTGGTTCCTGTTTGCAAGGGGAATGGTTTCAGTCTCTCTCCATTGAAAATAATGTTGGCTGTTGGTTTTGCATATGTGTCCTTTATTATATTGAGGAATTTCCTTTCTATTCTGATTTTGCTGAGAGTTTTTATCAGGAAAGGGTGTTGGATTTTATCAAATGCCTTTTCTGCATCAAGTGATATAATCATGTGACTCCTTTTCTTTATGTGATGGATGACGTTGATTGTTTTTCTAATGTTGAACCATCCTTGCATACCTGGGATGAACGCCACTTGGTCATAACGTATTATTGTTTTGAGTGTGTTGTTGAAGCCTATTGGCTAGGATTTTGTTGAAGATTTTTGCATCTATATTCATGAGTGATATTGGTCTGTAGTTTTCCTTTTTAGTGATGTCTTTGCCTGGTTTTGGTATCAAAGTTATGCTTACTTCATAAAATGAATTTGGGAGGACTCCATCCTTTTCTGTGTTCTAGAATAGTTTGAATAGGTGTCAGTTCTTCTCTGAATGTTTGGTAGAATTTGCCAATGAAACTCTCTGGGCCAGGGCTTTTTCTTGTTGGTAATTTTACTTTTATGACCTGTTCAATTTCTTCTTTTGTTATGGGTCTGTTTAAATTTTCCATCTCAGCCTCTGTTCATTTAGGTAAATAGTCTGTTTCTAGAAATTTGTCCATTTCTTCTAGATTTTTGAATTTACTGGAGTATAGTTCTTCATAGTATCCTGATTATTATCCTTTTAATTTCTGTTGTTTCAGTTGTGGTGTTGCCCATTTTGTTTCTTATTTGTGTTATTTGTATTCTCTCCCTCTTTTCCTTTGTTAAATTTGCCAGTGGTGTGTCAATTTTATTAATCTTTTCAGAGAACCAACTTCTAGTCTTGTTGATTTTTCTATCATCTTCCTACTTTCTGTTTCACTTATTTCTGCTCAAATCTGTTATTTCTTTTCTTCTGGTGACTGTAGATTTTTTTTTTTTTTTTTGCTGCTCTTTTTCTAACTGTTGGAGATGTTGGGTTAAGGTGTTTATTTTGGCTTTTTCTTCTTTTTTGACATGTGCACTTATTGCTATAAATTGGCCTTTGATCACTGCTTTTGCTGTGTCCCAAAGACTGTGGTAGGTTGTGTTTTCATTCTCATTTGATTCCAGGGAGTTTTTAAATTTCATTTTTTATTTCTTCTATTATCCAGTCATTTTCAAGGAGGGTATTACTCAGTTTCCATGTGTTTATTCTTTTTCCATTCATCTTCCTATTGTTGATTTCTGATTTTATAGCATTGTAATCTGAGAAGATGCTTTGCAGTATTTCAATGTTTCTAAATTTACTGAGGCTTGCTTTGTGGTCTACCATATGGTCTATCTTGGAAAATGTTCCATGTGCACTGGAAAAAAACACATATTGTGCTGGTGTTGGGTGAAGTGCTCTGTAGATGTCTATAAGATCAAGTTGGTGGACTGTATTTTTTAGTTTAGTGTCTTTGTTGAGTTTCTCTCTAGCTGTTCTGTGATTGGAAGTGGTGTGGAGTCATCTATTTGACTGTGGAGTTATCTATTTTTTTTTTCAGTTCTTTTAGAGTCTGGTTTATGTATTTTGGTGCTCTTTCATTGGGTGATAGATATTTATTATTGTTATGTCCCCTTGTTCAATCAATCCTTTAATCATTGTATCTGGCTGTACTTTCCAAGATTTGTTTGTTCTTCTAGCAGTCTGTGGTACATTCAATATTCCTCACCATCACAATTCAAATCCATCAATTCTTCTGTGGCCTTCCTTATTCATTGCTCAGCTCTCACATGTGTATGAGGCTACTGAAAATACCATGGCTTGGTCAGCGTATCTTATCTTCAAAGTGACATCCTTGTTCTTAAAGACTTTAAAGAAGTATTTTGCAGCAGATTTGCCCAATGCAATATGTTGTTGGATTTCTTGATTGCTGTTTCCATGGGTGTTGATTGTGTATACTTCCTGTACTCTAAATCTCATGGGCATTTATATATGTTTGATGTATGTATGAGGTAAATATAATGTCTGATTGAGTAAACTGCACACCCATGCTTGGCAGGGATTGTGTCCCTTGTTTTCAGTACCCAGACCAGTGCTCTGCAGAAGTGCACACTTAACCTTTGAATAAACTAGTCTTATTAGTCAATATCTTAGCAGCACAAATGTTTCCATACTGTGGTTAGATAATGTACTGAACTGACAAAGGACACAAAGACAAAGACACATTAGGTTTGGCACAAAATTACTAGCAATAAACAGAAAGCAGAACAGACTATGGAAAAAAAGAGGATAAAATGGAGAATCTTCCTTTAAGTATAGTTTTTCTCAACAACTTGATGCTAAACCTAACAAGGACCTGGAAAGATGGCTTAATAGTGGAAGCTTGGCTCCTCAGGCAGAGGGGGAAATCTTTACATAGCTATGTATGCTGGAAAGATTTATTTTATAGGTTAACCTTATTATAGCACATCTCTTTTTGTTGTAAAAGCTATTTCAGATTGATATTTCATATGATAGGCACTAATCTACTATGTGAATGATTTTAAATATTATCGTTTTGTATTGACTGATGGCATTTTAAAGACCTGTGATTTAGTTAGTTCTTAATAACCGTGGTTTCACTAAGGAAGAATATAACTAATCACGATGATTTGGGGTATGACTCCAACACAATCTTGGAAAAAAAAGACATTTAATGCAAATATTTAGCCACTGGAACATACAAATAAATAAATAAGTTCAGAATAGCTGAGAAAGGAACTAAAGTGTAATTGCCAATTTTTCTTCATTCCCAAATATTCCACTTCCAAAATACTGATAATATACAAATTAACTAGTAAGTAAAGAAGATACAGAATATTCAACATAAAACAACCTAAGATAAAAATAAAAGCAAAGATAAAACCCTAATTATTTTATTTCTGTATATCAAGACTACAAATAGCATTTAAACACTTAATTTATTATTCAAATTTAAAATTATACATTTTGTTTTTGATAATGGTCATTGTCTTAAAAGTGTCATTCAGTTTTCCTGCATTTAGAAATATAGTATATTGCTAATTATGGTCAATTAAATATGACATCCAACAGAGCCTCCAGTGACAGTAAAATAGTTGACAGAAAAGAGATGAGTAAGAATTTAGATTCCTTCCTCCTAATATCAGCAAAGGATCGCCCTGCTTTCCCACCTGATATTTTGAAATGCCTTCAATTTGGAATGATGGAAATCACAGAGCAATACAAATCAGGTCCTGATAAAGTGCCTTATTACTAGAGAATTAGTGAACGTTCTTTCTTCCCTGGAAATGTGTTCAGTAACTCCTCCATCATTTTGTTAAAGCAGCATTGCTCAAGGAAGCAGAAGGGTGCAAAAGTGTGGTAATGTAACCAAATAATGTCTAGTAAAACTGGTTTTACAGCCCAAAGTGATAAGGAAGGTGAGCAAAATCACAGACTCTGGCTACAGCAGGCTTCATATATAAAGGATAAAGCCCGCTACTTTGGTTCAAATGACTTTTAATAGATGTTACAGTGTATATCTCCTCCAAATCATTATTTACTGAAGGTAACATATCTGCTATAGGAACTGGATAGAGACCCGCTCCCTCCCCCCAGCGCGCTACAGACATGAAGCAGAGACAGAACTCTAACAATGAGTGAAGTGTATGTCTCACATCCACATGAAGCAATACCTAAGTCATCATGATGCAGGTCAATGTTATAATTAAAATAAGCATGCTAGTCCCATGTTTGGGAAATGGCTTAAAACACACAAATAATATATTACCATTGTTACCTATTTTCCAAACTTAACCACTTCAGGAAAAGGCAGCGGGCAAAAAAATGCCATTAGTTTTAAGAAGTAGGCTTGTAAACAATTCAACCACATGAGAAGCCCCATGAAAGTAAGCATTCTCAACCTCTCCGACCCTGTATCTCAACAAGTATTTTCTCTGTAGCTTGTGTAGCCCAGTCTTAACACAGGAAGCAACGTGCTGCATTTGCAGGTGTACTGCCAGCTCAGGAAGGTGTTTACAATTCGATCAGCACAAAGCCAAAGCTTCATCTTTGGTTAATTTCAGTGAGTTGCCACTAGTCTTAAAACTGTGCTCTTCTTGGCAAAACCACTAACTCAGCCACATGGCACATAGTATTTTTTATGTTAAATTATTTGAAAAGCAGTGTCCATCTAAGTAAATGACCATGACTTAATAAAAATCATTTAAAAAATTAAAGATAAAAGCAAGAAGGAAGAGAAGAACTTAAGAGGGCATTTGTAAGAAAGGACAGTGACAGAAAGCTAGCCGAGAGTCTTGGTCTGGTGGAGGTGCTGCTTACGTAGGAGGCACTGGTAGTTTCTCTGTAGAGTGTCATGTCCAATAACAGTTTCAGCTCAACTCAATTCAAACCCAGCAGCACATTCAATAGCATATAGAAGTTTACTTCGTAAAAGTGTCTCATCATAAAATTCAGGGAGCTTCAGCAGGTTCATGCAGGTACTGGCAGTGGGGAGCCGCTCTAAGTCAGAGCCCCCATTGTGAATGCAAAATGCAGGATACAATTCCTGAAAAACAATTCAGAAATATTGCTTTTGAAACAATAGCCTTAAATAAATAAAAACCAAACAAACATGCAAAATTTGCTTGCTTCAATAAGGTATTGTTGCTGTCATATTTTCCCAAAAGGGTATAAGCGTCATCTATTTATTTATTCTGGCACTAAGATTTTGCTCTAAATTATACCAAATAGTGTGTATTACACTTCATGTCAGTTTGCCATACTGTGGTGGCTTGCCACTGGTTTTTCAAATAGCAGAAGGGTCACCCATAGTGACAGGTTTCAGTGAAGCTTCCAGACTAAGAGAATTCCAAAAATTAGCCACTGAAAACTCTATGGTTCACATCAAAATCTTGTTTGATACAGTGCTGGAAGATGAGTTCCCTAGGCTGGAAGGCACTCAAAATGCTTTCAGGCTGCAAAAAAGGACTCAAACACATCAACAATTATGAAGATGGGAAAGGTCCTGGAAATGTTTAATTCTACTGTATATCATGAGTTGAAGCTGATTCGATGCCAACTAACAATATACTTCATGCATAAAGAATACACAGATAAAAAGTCACTCATGGGGAACAATCTTTTCAATGATTAGGAAGACTAGAGGCTTTTTGTCCTTAAAAACTAAAAAGGTGAAATATTTATATAATTTTCTTACATTAAAAAATGGGAGAGACAAAAAACTATGAGGGAGGGAAGGAACAAGATGGAGAGGACAGTGCAGTAAACTGGATTCTCCAAATGAATTTTGGAGATGAATGGTACTTCAGTACCACGTCGATTTATATATTAAAAAAAAAACTATTTAACAAAGCAATCTCTATAAAATGAAGGCAAAATGAAACAAATGAACCTATTTAGGAGTTGGTAGAGTAATTACACAGAAAGGAAATATTTCAAGTGTCTTACAACTGCAAAGAAATCTTAGCACTAACATTTCAGAAATGTTGCCATAGTAAATTATTGGTATTACTGTTCTGAAGCTACTATAGTATTATAAGGAACTATTATACAACTGTGCAGTATGTAACTATTTTAACAGATGGTATTATAAGATCCAGCATGCTTAACAAGCTAAAAAGAATTAACATTATAATTGGTAAAAAGATATTGAAATATAACATTAAAGAAATAAAAACTTTATAAGCCTAAATTTGAATTGGAAATATTAGTATGAACTTTTGATGTATTATTATTCACTTGGAGGAAAAATCCACACTTATGTCCCAGTTCTGTCCACTGAAAAGGCCTGGAAACAATGGCCAAGCCAGCAGCAATGAACAGAATGAATGCCCAGACTGATCTCTAAGGACACATTTCCTGACAAAGGGAATGAAGGCTCCTTAGAAAAATATCTGATTCCAGGTGTGGGCCAGGAAGTGTACAAGACAAAGTACAAGCACTAACGGCTTGTCATACCAGAAAGCAAGAAATCTATCACAACCCCTTGGATCATGAGCCAACTTGGAAGCATGCCCTTGTCCAAAGATGGGACACGTTGCACATGGTAAAGAATAACTGCCATGGACTGAAACACATCAGAAAGTAAAACCTATGCGTTCATAATGATAATTTAAAAAATCAAAATTCACTGGTTGCCTTTGGATGGTGTTAGGCAACCACTCCTTATTCCAAAAACTGGTCAATGGAGAGAAAAAAATCAAGAATTATTCTACTTTTGCTGTACAAATTATTCCCTGAGATAACCAAATAGCTGATAAGAGAAAGTTCTTCTTTGCTGAAAATACCAGCTAATAAGTATTATTGCTGTTGTTGGGTGCCATTAAGTTGGTTTCAACTCACAGCAACCCTATGTACCCTACATACAACAGAACAAAACACTGCCCAGTCTCGTGCCATTCTTAGAACTGTTGCTATGCCTGAGCCCATGTTGCAGCCACTCTGTCAATCCAGCTTACTGAGGGGCTTCCCCTTTTTTGCTGACCCTCTACTTTACCAAGCATCGTATCCTGATCCAGGAACTGGTCCCTCCTGAAAACATGACCAAAGTATGAGACACAAGTTTTGCCATTCTCACTTCTAAGGAGCATTCAGCTATACTTCTTCCAAGACAGGTTTGTTTGTTGTTCCTGCAAACCATGGTATATTCAATATTCTTCACCAACATCATAATTCAAATCCATCAATTCTTTCATGGTCTTCCTTATTCATTGTTCAGTTTTCACATGCATAGGGGGTGGTTTGGGAGCTCTGGTAGCATCGTGCCTAAGGCACTTGACTGCTAGCCAGAATGCTGGCGGTTCAAACCCACCAGCCACTCCTCGGAAGGAAGATGGGGCAATCTACTTCCATAGTGATACTGCCTCAGAAGCCCAAGGAGGGGTCGTTATGAGTTGGGTCCAACTCGACGGCACACAACAACAACAACAACAACACAGGGGGTGGTTTAAAAAGGAAGTGGCTTGGGTCAGGCATACTTTAGTCTTCAAAGTGACATCTTTGCTATTTAACACTTTAAATTAGAGGTCTTTTGTAGTAGATCTGCCCAATATATTATGTCATTTGATTTCCTGACTGCAACTTTCCTCAGAAGGAAAGTTGGGCAATCCTACTTCTGTAGTGATAATGCCTCGGAAACCCAAGGAGGGGTCGCCATGAGTCGGGGTTGACTCCACGGCACATAACAACAACAACAACTTTCATAGGTGTTTACTATGGATCTAAGTAAAATGAAATCCTTGACAACTTCAATCCTTTCTGGATTTTTGTTTTCTTTATGTTGAGGTGTAGTCTTTTATCTTCATTATTAAGTGTTTCAAGTCTTCACTCTCAGCAAGCAAGGCTGTGTCATCTGCATACTGCAGGCTATTAATGAGTCTTCCTCCTATCCTGACGCCACGTTCTTGTTCATATAGTCCAGCTTCTTGGATTACTGATGCAGCATACAGATTGAGTAAGTACGGAGAAAGGATACAAGCCTGACACGTAGCTTTTCAGATTTTAACCATGCAGAATTCCCTTGTTCTGTTTGAATGACTGCCTCTTGGTCTATGTACATGTTCCTCATGAGCACAATTAAGTGTTGGGAATTCTCATTCTTCACAATGTTATCCAAAATCTGTTATGATCCACACAGTTGAATGCCTCTGTATAATCAATAAAGTACATGTCAACATCTTTATGGTATTCTTTGCTTTCAGCTAAGATCCATCTGATATCAGCAACAATATCCTTTATTCCATGTCCTCTTCTGAATTTGGCTTGAATTTCTGCAAGTTCACTATGTACTGCTGCAGTTGTTTATGAATTATTTTCAGTGTGTGATATTAATGACATTGTTCAATAATTTCCACATTCTGTGGGGTCATCTTTCTTTGGAATGGGCCCAAATATGGACCTCTTCCATTCAGGTGGCCAAGCAGCTGTCTTCCAAATTTCTTGGCATAAACGAGTGAGTGCTTCCAGCACTGCATCCATTTGGTTAACACCTCAATGGGTATTCGATCAATTCCTTGGAGCCATGTTTTTCGCCAGTGCCCTCAGTGCAGCATGGACTTCTTTCTTAATACCATCAGTCCTTGGTCATATTTTATTTCCTATAACGGTTGAACACTGACCAATTCTTTTTGGTACAGTGACTCTGTGTATTCCTTCAATTTATACTAATAAATTAGGACATGATATATAATTGGAATTTAGCTGTTTTGTAGCCCCTGATTAAATAATGGATATAAGCAGTAATCATAAATAACTGCTAAAATCATCAGGTGAAAGGGTGATGAAGAATTTTATAATACATGGATCAGGCTAACAACATCTGAACCCACAGATGGACACAGCATTTCAAAGATGCTAAACACTGTCTCCAGCAGCTGATGGTAGGAAATGTAAAGCTCCCAACATTATCTGTGAAATATTATTGCCCAAAACAGGAAAAGTCAAACTTATAATTTGAATAAACCTTGAGAACTAGCAAATATGCAGGGTATATAAGAAACAACTGAGTTTTTATGAAATAATAAAGTACAAGAAACAATAAAACAGGAAGGTGGAACCTATAGATAAACTGAGTAAGAGTTCTACCCTCAAAATGACCTAAAGACATCTGTGTCTTATCAAGCTTTCTAAGTTTCACTACCATTAAGTCCAACATAAACATTAAAATGTATGTATATATGACCTGTAATATGCGCAGAAAAAAAGGCTATCTTTTCTTCCTAACTATAGTTTATACGCTACTTAAAATCTCTAATAAAAATTTTAGAATAGGAAGCAAAAGAGAACCAGAAAGAACACTTATTACATTTATTATTAAGCATTTTGAGTACAAAAGGGTAATAATTTTCTCAAATGCTTAAATAAACTAAACTAAAAGCATCAAATGTTTAAAACAGAAAAGGCCCTCTGAAGGTGGAGGTCAGTGAGTGCTGATAAAGTTACTGGGTAAATGGAAAGCTTGAAATATATTTTGCAGTTAAATGCCCCATTTTAGTGTTTCTTTCATAATGCTAATTGAATTTTCTACTTTGAGTCTTAAGAGTAAAAAAATGAAGTTCTTCATTGAAATCTGAGTCAAGGGCACCATTTCGTGCATAATTAAATACAACACAATGGGAATTTGCATTAATTCAGAGTGAGAAAAATCATCAATTTATTATGTGACCTGATGGCAACTTAACAATTTCTATAGCACTTTAATGATTTTTTTGTCTGTAACAATCACATTTATTAAACATATTAAACTTTAATTAGCTTTAGCAAATGTTATTCTTCTCCAATAATCTGGCACTAAGGAGTTTCATACTTTTAAATTACGCATCCCTGCCTGTGCCGTTTATAGTACTTCAATTCAAAGACATTCTCTCCTCTTAAAACAGAATTAATCTGGCAGCCCTTTCATCAGGCGTACTGGACTAACAGGAAAGCCTGAATATTAAGGTGATTTTTCCAAATTTGGTGTCTAACTTAAGATAGCCGCAAAAATGCTTATTATGGAAAATTCTTAATCAAATTTCACATTTAATATATGTTAAATCATTGAAAAAA